GTCTCCGATGCTACAGCTCCTGCGCCTCCCAGCCGGGCAACCAGCCTCGGAAATGCTCATCCACCCGCCACCTTCTGTAACCGGACGATGGATTTTCCACAGGGTGGATGTGTTTAACAGGAACACGTGTCACAGGCGGCAGGGGAAGGGAGGAGGGGGGAAGGGGAGAGTACTGCAAACACCCCTGCGCTTCAGCAACCGCCTCGCGGCCAAACCGGACGGATCGGAAACGCTTTGAGAGGATCAGACACTCGGAATGAGCCACTGTTGGCACCAAATCCCAGAACTCAGTGGGACGTTTCGTTAACACACGCCTGTTCCTCCAAAGGGGGTGACACTTAGTAATTTAGCATTTTAGTAATTCTGGAAAATTACTAAATCTTAATAAATTCTGGAAAATTTGAGGCACTGGGATACGTTGCCCAGAGAAGCTGTGGATGTCCCATCCCTGGAAGTGTCCAAGGCCAGGCTGGATGAGGCTTGGAGCACTGGGGGAGGGTGTCCCTGCCCATGGCAGGGGGGTTGGAACTGGATGATTTCCAAGGTCCCTTCCAACCCAAACCATTCCATGATTCTAAAACTTACACTGGCCTAAACCAATGGTGACTATCAAATTCCAGCGTGTCCCGATCACGGCTTGGCGACGTGTTTTACGGAGAACTTCCCGTTAGCGCGATCACGCTGCCCCCTGAAGCTTGATGTACGTGGAAGTGCCCCTTTCCACCGACCCACGGGCGGTAACAAACCGAATGCCGCTCGGACGATCCGTACGGACGGGTCTGGAAGGGCACACGCGGGCTGAACTCGGCAGTCCCGCAGTCGGCGCAAAGACCCAACATGAAAACGTTCCAATGCTGGACACCGCAAAGAGGAATTACATTATTTCCTCCTCTCTCCTTAAGTTTGGGGAAATTTCATGAAGAAACCCAAGGACTCTGAAGTTCCACATTCTGTATTTCTGACTCGTCTTTACAAAACCAGTAGAAATTCCAGTCTTGCACCACAGCGATGGAAAACATTTTCCTGAAGGCTCCAAAAATCAAAGAGCTTGGGGTGGGGGAAGCCTAAAAACCTGCAGCTTTTGCTAAGATTTCCTCACCCCCGGTGTTACTTCAGACTGAGATATGATGGGCTGAAAACGCCATCTGGATAATTTTATCAGGTGACCGGATTTTTGGCAATCAGCCGTAATTCCAGCGTCTTCTGGGACACCGCAGCGACACTGCAGCTTCCCGCTGATCCTGCAGTTCGAGCCTAAACACCGACCTCGTTCCCAACCAACGGCATGAGACAGTTTGGGCTACAAAGGACGCATCCTCTTCCAACGGGCACGTTATGGCTCTGAGGTTCACACATTGGGCCTAAAAATGAAGTTTTATTGGTTAACGGGTCACACTCACGCACTTAATGGGTAAGTGGAGCAAACTGCACCGCTTTCTACGTCTCGTCTGCATTCCTTATGGGGTTTTAGGATACGACTGCTGTGGATGCAGAATGAGGCCTTACCAAGAGAGTGAGAGAGGGGTGAAGATTAGAGAAAACGCCACGGTTTTCATTTAAAAAAGTAAAATAGAGCGTCCTGGGAATCAGAAACGTTCTGATTTTTGATCTTTCAGAAAGGATTTGGCCTGCAAGCGGAATGGAAAAACCACCAAAGAAGAGTGTTTCGAGCTCCTACCGCTCCTCAGCAAACACCGGGGTACGAGTGGCAACACAGAGGGTTTCTAGGGCTCCCGGAAGTCACGGCGATTCCCGCCTGCGTCACTGCGCTCCATCCGAAGGGAAAGTAACAAGCACCAGCGGAGGGTTTGAGAGTGCACAGCTTCCGTCCTGGAAGACTCAGACTCCTCACCCAACACTTGCCCAAGACAGCCACCGGGAGCTGGGGATATATATGCTGTGGGATATTTCCAGACGCTTCCATTTTGAAATTTAGGAAAACCCCTAGATTTTTCTCTGGAAAAATCTCTTCTCCGAGAAGATTTTTTAATCAGCTTTCTGAAACACCACCTTCTTTACGATCGGTGTTGTTTTTCTGGAGAGGAAAATCAGCTTTATGCAACGGAAACAGGAAAATGATACTGAAGGTGTCCTGACAAGTCACAGTGAAGACTCAGGTTCATGCTGGGGTTCAAATGGTATGGAATCATTGAATCATGGAATGGTTTGGGTTGGAAGGGACCTTAAAGCCCATCCAGTTCCAACCCCCCTGCCATGGGCAGGGACACCTTCCACTAGACCAGGTTGCTCCAAGCCTCCTCCAGCCTGGCCTTGGACACTTCCAGGGATGGGGCATCCACAGCTTCTCTGGGCAACCTGTTCCAGTGCCTCACCACCCTCTCCGTGAAGACTTTCTTCCTGATATCCAATCTAAACCTCCCAGGGTCCCTCCGCCAATACCGGTCAAGAAGGAACGTCCTACCGTTGAAGCCATCCTGATCCAGGTCCCCCAACGGCGCAATCGAAGTGCCGAATCGGGCGAATATCTCAAAACCGTTCAGCTTGGTGATGTGAAACCCTCCAGAGGCTCGCTGAAGGCAAACGGAGACTTGGCCCACCTCCTGAAGTTTCCCGTCAGACCCTCGATCCATAAAGAGAGGGGCTCCAATAAACAGATCTGTGTAACTGGAGCAAAGAAGGGATACGGTTCTTCAGCAGCGGGAGGGAAACGCGGTTTCACGCTCTTACGCGTCCGTTAGCAGGGCTAACCCAGCCCTGAAGTCAGCATTGAGATGAAAGTTGCCCGTCTTCAACTCACAACCCCAGGCAAACGTTTGCTGGCTGAGTCAGGACAAACACAGCACGGCTTCGGGCATCTAAAGCATGCGTGTGCACACGTGTCTACGTGTAAATAAAGGCACGGCTGAAGCGCGTCGCACGGACGGGCGGTAAGCCCGTAACGAGGGCAAATCTGTGCTGCAGACTTTTTGGTAAAAGCTGCTGTTCTTTGCTTCCCAGAAACAAGCCGGGTGGCAGCGGGGAGAGCAGGGCACTTACTTGTCCCCGTTGATATCTGTGGCAGCCACCGAATACCCGAAATAGGCGGCCATCTGGAAAACAAGACGTAACGGAAACTTGGGAGCTGTAGCGATGGAAACGCACGAGTTCACACAAAGCTACAGAAAAAGCGTTAGTGAGACCGTAACCTGCACCACAGAATTGGTCTCCTTTCTCCTCACCTTTCCCTTTACCCTGCTAAAAAGCCAACTGGTGAGTTAGCTCCCCCATTCGCCCCTTCACGATCCCGTCCCCTCTCCCGGTTCCCAAACTGGGATTCTCTTTGTTTATACAGGACTTCTGAGTAGTCCTACACCACGGGAACTCACAGACCTTGCGTTTGTAGCATTCCTACAGACATTATAAATGTTTTCTTCGGCAAATAAGCTAATAACACACAGAATTTACATGTTCTAGTACCCTAAGTACCGTCTCAACATGTCCTCTTTCTAGAGGAATTGCCACCCCGTCGCCCACACCCCGAGTAACGCTACACACCTGCTCTCCAGTGAAGTTGTACATGGAAGACATGTTTTTCCCATTGTAAATAGACACCTGCACATGCAGAAATACGTGTTACCAACAATACTTGGGGGGGAGGGGTGTGTTATTTACTGTAAACTTTAGTCTTTCCAACTTCCTACCATGCCCAGAGTCCTCGCTGCTCTTGGAACTCCTGACACAAAGTCTGAAAGAGAAAGCAGGACACGCAGGTAACGTTCAGGGCCCGAAGCACTTTACTTGGCCAGAACAGCCCCTTCCCAGACACCTGCCTGCGCACCGTATCGTCTGCTCCGCGCCACGTACTTGGAAGACCCGCCCACCGCAACAACGCGATCTTTTTACGGAAGCGAGGGTCTTACCTTCTACGCCATCACCACTGAAGTCTCCGACAGCCACCGAGTAACCTGATCAACAGACAGAACGAGGAAGTCACTAAAACCCTTGTTAAAACACTTTGTCTGCCTGCGCACCCTTCGCAGGGTTCGCCGGCTCTCGGGCTCTCTGGGTCTGACTGTCACTACTCAGCACCTGGTTGTGCATTGGTCAGTGGGTGGTGAGCAACTGTATCATATTGTACCCTATATTTTATTTCCTGTTATCTTAATTATTTATTATCAGTAGTATTTGTATATATTAATTTGGATTTAATTAGTAAATAGTTCTCATCTCAATTTTACGAGCTTCCTTATTTCTTTTTCCTCCGATTCTCCCCCTCCACTGGAGGAGGGGAGGGGGATTTGTGAGAGCAGCTTCGTGGTATTTTCCTAGCTGGAGTTAAACCACGACACCCTATTAAACATGGAAGAAGCTAAATGATGATTTCCCAGCCCTCCGAGGGATTCCCTTCATTAGTTTTCTTCCCAAACAGGATTCTTTCCTATGTTTATTTTGTTTTGGTGGATTGTTTACAAACAGCTGCTTTCTAAACAAAAAACCCAGCGTGTGGCTAACATCTCACGTACAAAACACACCTTGGCTACTCCCATCTTTGGCCTGAATCAGGGAAATCTTTCCACTGAATCTGCCACCGGGTGCGTTCTGAATCAAGCCCGTGGCACGGTAACGCAGGCTCCGTCCCGCACCACTGATCACGCCGTCAGGAATGCAGCCCTCCTCCGTCGAATGCTCGTTTCGCAGGAGTGCGATTCGGACTTAACTGTGAATTTTTCCAGCACAGCCAGGTCCCCTCCCTTTTCCAACTACGCACCCAAGTAGCTGTCATCGAAGGCGGCGCTGGCAGGCCGGGTGGCTAACTGGTCGGCGTACTTCGTACTGTAAACCTTGGCGTCGTATTTGGCCACAATCTCCGGCACTCGATCAGAAATCAGTTGGCCTAAGAAGAAAGAAGACGGTTGACACCCACAGGGACGTGCGCGCGGCCCCTCACCCAGCAGCAGGGCTCCCCCCACAGAACGCTTGCTTCTAAAGCAACGCGCGTTCCCGGAAACCCACCGGCAGCGTGAAAAGTGGGGATCCCGCTTCCGCCACGAGTTGCGCACGTACTTAACCCAAAGCCCGCAGAGCTCTCACCGAAAGCAGAAGCCACTCCTAGACGTAAGGCCAGGAGGGAAGCGAGACCGGCGAGCGTACGCTCAGGCAGCCGCAGGGCTGCGGCACCGCACCACGTCTGAGCCCCCGAGCGCGCCAGGCCAGCCGCTACGCCTTCCCCCCTCTCAGTCCCGGAGGTCAAATTCCAGCCCCAACGGCCGGACCTCGCTGTGACTTAAACGACGTCTCTCACCTTGCCAGTAAAAACTTCCAGGCCCTCCCAGCAGGACTCTGTCTCCCTTGGAGCAAAAAGACAAACAAAGAGGAATGAAAAGCCGAACACACGGCCACAGCGAGCACTTCTAAAGGCAAGAGAACACATCCTGTGTCCGTGGGAAGCAACCCCGTGCCTGGGTATCGCTGGAGCTTCGCTGACCCCGGAACATTTTACCTTGTGAGAGCTGGAATCATGATTAATTTCGATTATGATTCATTAAAAACCCAGCTCCTAAAGTGCTGAGATAACAAACAACACGCCTGCAGTGACCTGCTTCTCCGCTTCACCCATTTAAGACCCCCGGCACAATTCTGCTCTTGCTGTAACAGAGCTTTCCTATCCACATAAACCTCAGGCAACGGGAACACAATTCGGGGGAACCTTTAAGACCGCGACGAGGCGCTCGTTACGCCCTTTTGTGTCAGTACACAAAACCACCTTCACCTGCTGCCCCTGCCGCCTTCCGTAACTCATCGTCAGGAAGGTTTAACTCCAGGTGTGATGTAATTCCCCCACTCCACGTCCCACGGTACAACTGCAACCCACCAACCGTTTTACCCGGCTTTAGCCACTTCCCAGCGCCGGGAATCCGCTCTGGAAGTGCTGAATTGGGCCACAGGGTTTGCTGCCTAATTAAGCCACTTAGTGTGGTTTTAATCCTAAAAAAATCCCACAATCACCACGCAGAAAAATCTAGTTCAGAGGTTTGGAGATACCTTACACCCACCGGCTTTGCCCACCCAGCTAAGGCTCTTGGGTTAGAGCCCAAGGTTGGTTTTAACTGGGGCTGGACTCTGCCCAGTTCCCCCGGGGGGAAAACAAGAGTGTCCGCAGGCAAAGGGCGATCCAAAGGTGGGAAGAACCCCCAGAAAGTGCAACATCCCAAAAAGGACTGGCGTGGTCTTCACGTGTCCGGACTCTGCTAAATAATTTAACTGCATGATGCCAAAAAATGTCGTTAGCTCCCAGACCTGTGCAGTTTTGTTGGGCTTGGGCTTAAACAGCAACTGCAAACTGACTAAAAAAAAGGACCAGGAAAGGCAGGGAAGAACGTAAAAGCAGAAGAAACATAAAACCGACGGCAGAAGGAAAAAGCCTGCTTCTGCCTGCTGACGAGAAGAGAACTCGCAACAAGGCCGACTGCCAGTTCCACGCAGCGGTAAGCTGTCCTTCCGCAGGAAGTGCCACCGGTACCACCACCCACCCCCTCAAAATCAGCGTCTCTGACTTGACTAATCACGTTGTGACCCCTGGGAGCAGCTGCAGCACAGCTTTACGGCACCGGGCTAGAAAAGTACGTTATCATAGAATCACGGGTCGGTTTGGG